TTGTTCCCTCCCCGGCCTCCTTCGTCGCACCATCCAACCGGCCACCACCCCACGTCGCCACGCCCTCCTTCGTCCTTCCGCCCCCCCCCCCCCCCCCCCCTCCCCGCCTCCTCGCCTCATCACTTCGCCGTGAGGTGGCCCGCCTGGCTTTCCTTTTGGCCAGCAAGCCTGAAACCTTCATTCGTCGCCCTCGGTCCCCTCCCGCCCTCTGTTCCTCCTCTACCTTCTTGCCGTGCTCTCCCCTTCCCCCCTTGACCATCCAGTCGCAGCCTCGTTGCCCTCCGGTTCCACCGTCCAGACGGGCTCTGTCTCTCGGCCCTCGCTCTTTGTTCCTGCGGCTCAATCAGGAGCCATGGCCTGCAGGTCGGTCCGCGCTCTAAAGGAAATCCACTGCGGCCCTACGACGACAGCTGCTCTATCCACTCTTGCCCTCTGATGCCGCACCGACGACCTGCCTTCTCGCCCCCTCCTTAGCTTCCGCCTCGACAAGCTGCCAGGCCCATCACCAACAAGCATGATCAGCCGTGAGCCTGCTCCTTCATCTCCACCATCCCCCGTCGAACATTGCTCCCAACAGCCTTGATCCGCCCCATCGCGCCCTCGTGGAAGCCGCCACCAGCTCGACATCGGCCAGATCTTGGACGATTCATCTGTGCCCCGTCCATCGACTCCTTTAGTCGACATTGCCCTCGACTTGCCTACTCGCGGCTGAGAGCGTTTCCTCAGGCAGGAGCTGGCCCTCGTCGCGACTCGCGCCGAAATCAGCGGCTCTTTCCTTTTGACTGCGGCCCGAACACGCTCGACGACGTCGGCAGCAGCCGTCCTTGCTATCGGATCCTGCTAGCCGGATATCAGTACAGCCTCGTCCTTTCGGCCTCGATCCTGCCCAGCGGTTGCGGGAATTCGGCTTTCGCCGCGACAGGTTTTCGACCGTCGGCTTCGACCTTGACCGCCTGTCCGCACCCCAGCCAACGCAAGCCCGTCTAACCGTCCTGTCGATTCGACAGCGGTAGGTCTGCAACGAGCGAGGGCACCTTGTTTCGGCTCGGTCCGACCCGCCCACACGACCGAGCAGCGAGCAAGTTGCGCCTGCGTCGCAGCAGCATCCCGCGAACTCGGCACGCGCCTTCACGCTTTTTCGGCGGGTCAGCGACGTCGGGTGAGGCCCGCGACCGCTTCCCGACCCGGCAGGATGAGGTCCTCGCCCTCGAGGTCGTCGAAGACGCCGGCAAAGAGAGCTCAGGCCGACCGAGCGACGGCAGCGGAGGCGGGCAAACAGGAAGCCCGGCCCGACGACACGGCGTCTCCCACCGTCGCCACCACTTCGGAAAGATCATCCCCCACCTCAGCCCCGAAGCGCCGGAAGAGCGTCGGCGTCGCAATAACGACACCATCGTCGTCAGCAGCATCGTCACAGAGGCCCTCTGGACAGCTTCAACCGTCTGCGGCTCCGGCAGATTCGACACAGCCTTCTGCAGCAGCTCCATTGGGACCCGGGCAAACGTCCGGAGACGCCGACAGCGACAACAAGGTCGACGAGGGGGCAACCGCAGAGGCCCCCGCGGGATCTGGGTTGGACGAAAAGACATCGGCAATGTGAGTAGACGAGGGCTGCAGGCGGTCCTTGTGCACCATGGAACCATCCGAGACGGCAAGGGGGGGATGAGACACGGGCCTATGATCGCAACTCGGCACTGCCCACAGGCAAAGACGCGCCGCCATCATTAGGCGTGATTCCTGAAGGGCATCGCGCCGGCGCGGCTGAGGTAGCTGCGGCAACGACGCCATGAGATGTCCGCGCAGGCCGATCGACATTATTGCTCGACGTCGTCGTGAATCTCATCCTTGCCCGATTCGATACTCCCCCATCTTACACCATGAACCACCATCAGACGATACCGCCTCAGGATCGCACAGCAGCCAACGGCGGCCAGCGCTTTCGGTGACGAGCTGCTATCAAGGCTAGCGGCCGCGCCACCTTTGATCTTGGAGCTCGATGCCGTCGACGAAGTCGGCGACCCGGTCGATATGTGAGCCTGCGACATGCGACTAGCCACGCCCGGGCCGATAGCCAAGAGGCGGTCTGCTGACACCTCTGATCGGCACCCCTGCTTCTGTGCGAAACGCGCGATCTGACCAGTTCCAGCGAAGTGCCCTTTCTGATCTGCCAAGTGGCCATCACGCTCGAGAACGGCAACAGCGCCGACATCTATTCGCCTTCTCCCGTCCGATCGACACCATCCAGCTCGGTGCAGGCCTCGCCTACGCCATCTTCCTCGCGCGGCCGGGCCGCGGCGCAGGCCTCGCCTGCAGAGAGCCCGGCGGCATCGGGCTCGCGCGATGCTTCGGCCGCACGCCCGTCTCCCACGTCCACCGGGCGCGGCGGGGCAGCAAAGCGACGCGGTCGACGCCGCAGCGGCCTCAACCCTTCGCCGGCGAGGGGCGGCGCGACGACGCCGCCCTCGGCCTCGCCGCTGCAGGAGGTGTCGCCACCCGCGCGCATGTTGTATGGCACCCTG